TGTTATGGCAATTAGGAAAATGATACATAGAATGTTTTTCAACTTGATACCAAAGCTAATTTGGTTTTAAAGAAGGTTGTTAGTGCTTAATTACCCATGTGATAGGTCTCAAAAGTCAATCATATTGAGTTATCACATGTCAGTCCACATGATAAGTATTGAAAATATATCATATACTAGATTTCAATTAAAACTTAAAATTTATATCAATCCTACTCATGGAAAGAATGTAATTAAATTAAATCTATATATATATTTTTTAATTGGCAAAATGAAAAATTTTTATTATATGGAGTATAAGGGGTATTCCAACACATTTACAAAATTAAAGTGGATTTCAACAAGCACAATGGAAAATGAGAAACAATCATTGACATAAGTGCACAAATCTAGCAACCATCACATAAGCAAGCCTCCAATATACACATCAAACATGGTCTTGTTGCTGCTTCAAAGACAACTTCAATTGAATTTTATGCCTTCTCACCGCCAAAGCACAACCCACTGGACCTATTTTCCAATCATATAATGAGAAAACAGAACTAGATAACTTATTCTTAACCTAAGTAAATAACTTAACCTGTACTATATCCAGCATTCTCTCCCTATAATTTTCATTATTTTGAAACACACAATCATTCCTCCAAAACCAAGATAACTTATTCTTAACCCAAGTAAATAACTTAACTTGTACTATATCCAGCATTCTCTCCCTATAATTTTCATTATTTTGAAACACACAATCATTCCTCCAAAACCACAAATACCAAGAGACAATAAGGAATATGCACAAACTCATCTCCTTCCTTATTATCCTACCCAAGCTATATTGAAAAAATTATGCAACACCCTCCACTGTATTTGGTAACACAACTTCTATGCCCCACCAATGTAACACCTTTTCCCAAACTAACCATTCTTCCTTACATGTACAAAATAAATGGTTTACTTCCTCCACCCTCTCACTGCACAAACTACATAGTAATCCTTCCCCATGCAGATTCACCCCTCTTTTTTGTAAATTCAACTTAGTTGGAACTCAATCAAGACATAGTCTCCACCCAAAGAAAGCCACCTTTGAAGGCACTAATTTGAACCAAACCAACTTACATAACTAACCCTAAAGAACACCATCCCTACAAGTTAAAAACTCATAGGCCATCTTCACAACATACCTTCCTTCAGGATCATGCGCCCACCTCCAACAATCCTCCTCCTAGTGCTTTAATCGCACCCTACCCAACACCTCCCACAACAACTTCTCCTCGTCCCTCTCTCATCCCATTCTACCCCTTCTCCATTCTAATCTCCAACACCACTTATCTCCCTCCCAAAACCCCATCTTACTAACCACACTTTCTTTATTAGCACTCAACGCAAACAATATTAACCCCATCTTAAATTAAATCTATATGACTAGTCTCAAAAGTCAATCTCAAAGTTCATACTATTTTTATAAGTAGGAGAGATGTGTTAAATGACAAAATTTCATATAAATAAAACCAAAAAAATGGTGACTTAAATATAAGGCAAGTATTTAATTTAAAGTTTTAAAATGTGATTTAAATTTATGGACTGCCTCGCAAATTAAACATAGAAATCATTAATAAAGCGAAAGATATTAACCACAAACTAGTTGCCAATGAACCAAATGATTGTAATTTGACAACTCTTTACAAACTGTTTGGTATGGAATCATGCCAAGTTTATTAATTAACATTTTCCACATATAAAATTATGACTTTTCTTTCTTCATCTCTATATATGGTAATGTATATATTTAAGATGGTCAAAGTAGAGAGAGTTGCGAGCAAATGAAATTGCATCGCATGGTAGTTGTACCTACGTTAATGTGGTTGTTTCTGCTTCATTGAACCTCGACAGTTGCCGCTTCCAACAGAAACAACACCACTTTTCTTTATATTTGTTTCTGTCTCCAACTCATTCATAATGTCAAACCCATATTTAACTTAGTTCAAAAAAATAAAGTCAAACTTATGCATTTTTGAAAAAAATAAGAACATATGATAATCTAACTAAAGAACCACACGCCTTGTAAGGAACGTGGGAAACAAACTGGGGGACATGAATATTGCTACGAATCAACACCGGCTCGCTTAACCACGAGGAGAACTTCTAATGCGACTTAACCCATACCTAGGAATAGATTCTCTGTTTTTCGGAAGGACGAACTCTTGTGCGGGGAGGGTGCTTCCAATCTATGGTAGACGAACCTACATGGCAGCAAACAAAAAGGAAATTAGAGAAGAAAGCAAGAGAAGGGAAGAAGGGGGGAAACGGTGCTATGTACTCCTAGAAGACCCTAAGGTTTTGATTCTCTTGAGGGGAAAGGAGGGTAGATAATTTATGGCCGCTTACTTAATGATTTAATAGAAACAACTCCCAAAACCAATCGCAATTTTTTCCTTCTTATTTAACTAAGTGACTCTTTGTGGAAGATAGGTTAATGAATGAGAAAGCATTTCCTCTAATTGTGAAATTTAAGAATATATATATATATATATATATATATGTATCTTTCTTCCAAAGATCTCTTCAAGCCTAGGTTTTCTAGTCGTGAGAGTAACTACTCCATTGTTGTTAAAGTTGTGCAACTATCCTTGTTGTTGGCAAGGTTAGCCCTCTAAGGGAGGTTAAACGTCAATTGTGGGGGTTTTCAATCTCTGGCCTAGGAACAATGGTAAGGAGGGGTGTGTTTCAATTTAGGGTTTCACGACTTAGGGTAAGTGAATTTAAGTGTTTTGAATTTTTTGATTTGAGTTAACTACCTAAGTGACTCTTTGAGAAGTAGTTATAAGAGACTATGTGTCAATAGTATGTCATGCAAGTAAAATAAATTAATGGATAAAAAAAAATTACCTTAGACTATAAAATTAAAAATTAAAAATAAAAAACAATTTTTTTTTTTTTAAATCTATTAGGGTTGTACATCTATCCTTGTTGTTGGAGTTTAGTCTTCTAGGGGAGGCTCAATGTCGAGTGTGGGAGTTTTCTCTGGCCTAGAAATAATGGTAAGGAAGGGTTTGTTTCAGTTTAGGGTTTTATGGCTTGAGGCAAGCAAACCTAAGTGTTTTTTTGAGAGTTTATGACTCGTTTGAGGGAGAGAGGTGTGGTAAAGTGTGCGTTGGGTAGGGGCTTTGCTTAATAGTTGGGTTGTTGGATGGCAGGAAAGTCTCTGGATTACAATGGGTGAGGACTTGGTTGATAGGGTTATCGGTGGCTTAACTCCTGTTGGCCATGTAGTGCCACAATTGAAAAGATCTTTTTGTGGTTGAGAGCTTGGCATTGTTTTCTTATATCTTTTATATATATATAGAAAATATAAGTAGTATTACTTAAAAAGGTTGTCAATACAGATAGCAGTGAGCAAAGTCTCACCTAAACACCTTCTCATGGAGAGGATAGTGATGACATTTGTGCTTTCCTATGGGCTATTTCATTAAGATTCTTGCGAATATATTTAAAGGAACAAGAATTAAATAATCTAACCTTTTCTCTCGTATCTTCAACAATAGCCCCATATGGTAGATAACAATCATCTAATGATGTTACCACTTGCACCACACCCAAACTATCAGACTCCACAATGATATCTTTGCAACCAAATTCTTTTCCTAATTGCACACCAAAATGGATTGCCAAAACTTTTGCATGAGTAACGTTTCCTTGGAACTAGAAAGTTCACTTGCCAGCATCCAAAACAATATTGTTGTTGTCTCTCAAAACTACTCCAACGCTAGTACTGCCCAACTGATTTTGGACTCCAGCATCTACATTAATTTTAGTAATATTGGCTGGAGGTGGCATCCAAGTTCTTTTTGCAATGGCCAACTGAGGTCTATCTCCTGAATATCAACTTCAGCTTTCTCTTCATTTAAATTAAAAAATCTTAACTCATTTCTATCTCTTCAAAAGATAAATTTGAAATATTGGTATTTAATACCTTAGTAAAATTTAAAGTGGGACAACAAACCACCTATATTTAAAAAGTTAAACAACTAAATTAAACTGCAACCAATAATCTTTGAATTTTAATAAATTGAAAATGTTATAATTATAAAATTAGGTGATATTATAAACTTATAATACAATATTTGGTTATATAATTAACTCTTTTTTATT